CGAGATCATGACCCTAGCCAAAGGTGGAAGCTTAACCGACTGAGCCACCCAGGGGTCCCCGGCTGCCACAGTCTTTTTTTTTTTTTTTTTTTTACAAATAGTTTATTGTCAAATTAGTTTCCACATAACACTCAGTGCTCATCCCCACAAGTGCCCTCCTCCATGCCCATCCCCCCCCCACATCCATCAGTCCTCAGTTTTTGTCAGCATTCAAGAGTCTCTCATGGTTTGCCTCTCTCCCTTTCCCCCACCATTTCCGCCCTTCTTCTCCCCCTTGTTCCTCCGTCAAGTTCCTCCTAATCCTCCTATACATGCAAACATATGATATTTGTCCTTCTCTGCCTGACTTATTTCGCTCAGCATAACACCCTCAAGGTCCATCCATGTTGCTACACATGGCCAGATTTCATTGTTTCTCATTGCCATGTAGTATTCCATGGTATAGATAAACCACATCTTCTTGATCCATTCATCTGTTGATGGACACTTAGGCTCTTTCCATGTTTTAGCTATTGTGGAGAGTGCTGCTATGAACATTGGGGTACATGTGCTCCTATGCCTCAGCATTTCTGTATCCCTTGGGTAAATTCCTAGCAGTGCTATTGCTGGGTCATAGGGGAGTTCTATTGTTAGTTTCCTGAGGAACCTCCACACTGTTTTCCAGAGGGGCTGTACCAGTTTACATTCCCACCAACAGTGTAGGAGGGTGCCCGTTTCTCCACATCCTCTCCAGCATCTAGAGTTCTCTGATTTGCTCATTTTAGCCACTCTGACTGGCGTGAGGTGGTATCTCAATGTGGTTTTGATTTGTATTTCCCTGATGAGGAGGGATGCTGAGCATCGTTTCATGTATATGTTGCCACAGTCTTATAGAGGACCTGTCCCCAGAGCTGCAGTGAGGTCATTCAGCTGTGTGGGCTTATTTCAGGGGATCGAATACAAAGAGATTCAGATCCCTGGCCCAATCTTTCACCTGCTGCAAGAGACTCCTGGACCAATACTTCATAAAAGGTACTCCTTAGGGGCACCTGGGTGGCTCAGTCAGTTGAGCATCCAACTTTGGCTAAGGTCATGATCTCATGGTTCATGAGTTCAAGCCCCACGTCACACTGCGCTTTCTGCTCTCAGCATGGAGCTCACTTTGGATCCTCTGTCCATCTCTCTGTCTGTTCCTTCCCGATTTGGCTTTCTCTCTCTCTCAAAAAAAAAAAAAGGCACCCTTTAGCTTCTGCTTGAATGACTCTGATAGTGAGGAGCTCATTACTCTCTTCTTCAGGATGATGCTTTGATGCTGAGCCCAAATGCTATGGATAGTGAGGAGAAATTGGAATTAACCCAAATGAACCGGGCTAAGTAATCCCAGCTATGAAGAGTTAGCACGCTCACTGCATACAGCCATTGAAAGTCATAAGAACGTGGCTTCTCTTGCTGCCCAGAAACGTGTACGCTGGAATCTTAGTGACAAGAGCAGAATGGAAGCAGCATTTGCACACCGATTACAGCTATGTTAAACCTACGTGTGTACATTAACAGCGAGAGGATAACTTAGAACACTGCAAATAGCTGTCGTTTCAAGATGCCTTGATTTTTAAAAAGTAGATTGTATAGGATGCTAAGTGAAACTTAGTGTCATATTTTAGGGCAAAAATCCCCAGCCAACCTCCATTAAAGGGCTTGGGGATTCTCGTATCAAGATTGATTGAGAATGGCTGCATGAAGCGCTAGATTTGGAAGGATCCCAGAGCCTTGGCTCAGCACTATGGGAAAGAGTGATAACGTTTGATTAGTGACGTCTGCCATGGGGAAGGATTAGCACGGCAGTATGTGCCCTAGGTCCTTGCCATTTATTCCTGAGACGCTCCCAGCCACCAGTGTCACTTCTGTAGATACTCTGAAAAATGAATGAGCTCTTGAAGGAAGCACGTTCTGGTGGAGACCTCGTCTTTAGTTACGGGCGGTAGGATTGAGGGCGAGTCACCGGGGTAGAAGATGGTATCCAATAAATACCATATGAGAAGGAAAGGCAAAGTCCTCCATACCAGGGGCCAGGTAGGTGGACACAGTAGGGAAGAGCTTTGTGGCATTTATACTTGGTCTTGAAGGAGGAGGTTTTGCAGGTGCAGACGCTTAGGAAAGCCCCCAGAGAGACGGCACAGCATGGATAAGGGTGTGGAGGCTGGCAAATAGCAAGCATCCTTGGGAGAAAGCCAGGCAGACTCTCTGGCTGAAAAATAGAGCGTGTATAGGTTAGCAATGGAAGATGAGCATGGGAATGGGGGGAAGGCGCCAGACTCAGTGTGACGGAAAGGCCAGGGTGCCGAGATTGGATTTTATTTAGTTGGCCACAAGGGGCCTTTGATGAGCTTTGAGGCAGGTGGTGATCAGAGGGAGATGAGACCAGAGGGTGCAGAGAAAATGTCTCTTTCCTGGGAGACAATCACTGAGAGGATGCCAGGCCCTGGATTTTGACAAGATCCCTTTGGAGTGTGTGTGTGTGTGTGTGTGTGTGTGTGTGTGTGTGTGTGTGTGTGAAGGGGGTAATCACAGTGTTGGGAGAATGGGGCGGGGGAGATAAGCCACGTCCCATCAAGGACAACCCTGTGGATTGCAGCTAATGTTCGGGATTGCCTGAGCACTCAACCAGGCATAGGGAGGTACCAGTGTCACTCTCTGTCCTCTGGAAGCTTCTAGTCTAGGGGGAGAGGCACACATATCTCAGGAAACACGGGGACTGATCTGAGACAGTGTGAGGTCCAGCACCAAGGGGAGAGCACCAGGTGGGTGTGTAGCATTTAGGGGCAGAAGACACTGGTGGAGTCAGTGGGACTGGGGGGCTTCTTTCCTGGGTAGGAAGAGGTGTCCTCAGACTGTACATCCATGGCTCTGGGAGGAGAGGCCTTGAAGGATGAGAAGAATTTGGACACGTAGACGGAAGAGAACTGTGCTTTCCACATATGGGAGGCTGGGTCTTGGGGACTGAGACGGACACAGAGGGGGACTTGGAATGTCTGAGGAGGCTGGCTGAGCTGTCAAAGTCAGCTTGGGTAGATGGGGGGTGTAGACCCCTCCCCCCAGGGCCTAGTAGCCTAGAAGGGAGGCCTGGCTTGAAGCAGTGGGCCAGGGATGCTCAAAGGGATGGGGTATGAGTGGGGTTTGGGGTAGGTTAGCCCGGCAGGTGTCAGACTCCTGGGGCCCTAGCAGGTAAGGGACCTGTCCCTGCCGGCCCCATGCTGGGGAGTCCGGCAGGCCTCACAAGACTTAGGAGACCCCATGGATTCTGGTCTATTCATAGGTTTGGTCAAGATTCCAAAGACCCTATGCCTTTTATTGGCCTGCTCTTCCAAACCTTGGGATGCTCTGCTCCAGGGAACGCCCTCCCCCCTCCCTTTCTTCCGCCTGGAGTCCCCGGGACCCTGGGGACTGCAGGGTGCGGTGGGAGCAGCTTTGGCTTTGAGACACAATCAGGCGGGTACATCCCGTTCTGGGCCAGGCCTGCAAAGACCTCCATCGTCCTCTTACCGTCCCCCATCATAGGACGAGGGGAGGCTCTGGGGCTCTGGCTGGGCGGTGAGTGGAGGTGGCCAGAGGAGAAACCCCACACTGCCCGGATCACGTCGGGGTCTGCAGGCCTGGCTGTGGCCTTCTGTGTGCAGCTTGAGGGCCTGACAAATGTGCTCGGAGCCCTGAGTGTGTGCTACAAGGTGGCAGGGAGCGTTTTGACGTGGGGATTGTTTTCCTGCTCACCCCAAAGTGGGAGCGCTCCTGTGCAGGGCTGGTGCACACTGAGCCAGCTCTGGTCATCTCAGTCCACGAGAAGCTTGTCGCCAGGAGGCAGGGAAGGCCAGCAGATGAGGGAGAGAGGCATGGGCCGACTTGACTCAGTGGCAGAAAAGGAGCACGTGACAGTTCTGGGGGGCACAGGCATCTCAAGAGCCCTGAGGACAGGGCTGAGTCTGATGGGGCCGGAGAAGAGAGACAATGAACGGAGGCAGGTTCTGGCGGGTCCCCTCCTCCTTTGCCTCTGCCCCAGGCCTCCCGCTGTTGCAGATCAGTACAAGTGGGACAGCCAGAGGCCAGTGTGATTTACGTTGTGGGTGTGTCCTCAGCACCTGCTGCACCATGATGACAATCTCTCCATTTGACCCCCTTTTGCTGCAAATAGCTCTGACCTCAGCCACTGGCATCTCAGCCCCGCCTCCTGCTTCAGAGCTAAGGATACTGCCATCCTTGCCATCATCAACGCCCCCCTCATTGCCACACTGTCATTACCATCATCCTAGGTACCAGCCCCATCATCCCCAGCCAACCAAAATGCATCCCACAAGGTCTAGGGGGTGCTGGAAACCAGGATTTGGTCAGACTTCCTAGTGCACGTCCAGACCAGGGATTCTCGACAATTTTGCCTGCTAGGTGGACATTGGGCAGTGCCCTGAGGCATTTTTGTTTGTCACAACTGGGGCACTGCGGGGGACATCCCATGCGTAGAGGTCAGGGATACTGCCAGACATCTACAGTGCACAGGACAGCCCCCCCACCCAACCTAAAAATCATATGTTCTAAAATGGCAATAGTATTGAGGGTGTGAAAACTTGCCTATGGAGGTCGTATAGCCCTCAGTCTATCTGACTCCTACCCTTGCCCCAAAATGCTCACATCATGCCACTGATTCTGGACAAGAAGAAATCCTCACCAGTCCATCTGATGGCAATTCTTATGCACGCTTGTGCACACTTATGCACACCTCGTCTGCTTGTATTAAAAAGTGGAGAAGATGAAAGTGCTCTGTGGCCATCCTCCAGAAGGAAAACACGCAGAAGCCACAAATACTTGGAGCACACGGTGCACCCGCGATTGAGGTCACGCTTTTGCCTAGGGCAGAGAGGCAGGGACTGGGCTGGATCCCGGGAGTATAAAGGCAGAAGGAGCATTTGGGGCCGTCGCTCCACAGCAACAGCCCAACTTGGAGTGGATCTTCCTGTGGCCAGCTGGGAGCCGGAATCATGGAGTGGATGGTGGTGGCCTTGACCAGCCTCCAGCTCTTCGAGGCCGCGGTGGTCAAGTGAGTCTGGGGCTCAGCTTCCGTAGCAGTTGTGGGTTGGGGCCTCCAAGACAGAAGGAGCTACAACCTTTGCTGTCAGGAGACATCTATACCTGAACCAAAGGAGAGCTTGTCTATTAGATGCCCAGCAAGCCATTGAGACAAACGGAGAGCATTCACAGTGAAGAATGCTGGTGTGACACCACCCAGGAGAACGTGGCGCTGGTGCTCTGAAGCCCCGAACCCCTGATGACTTGCAAGGGAGGATTTTTAAGACCAGAAATGCAGGGTAGGGGCTGAGAGGCATGAGTTCATCTGACTGGTCAGGGATCGGTTGAACTTCAAGACTGATTGACTTGTCTTCCTGGCCCTGGTGTGTCTGGTTTCAACAGCTATGACTGGGTGGTCATTCCCTTCCCTGGTCTGGATCTGTAAAACATCTCAGCAATTTGTGTCGGTGATGCTATCTCTGTAAACAAAAGCAGAGGCCACACATCTTGTGACTGTGCAGGCTAATTCATTTCTTGGTCTCTTGAGCTTTGCTTTCGTTGTCTTAAGCATCCCGGGGTTTCCCCCTGTAATCTTTAACTTTGGGCCACATGCCTTTCTGCTGACTTAATTCTGTTGGTGGTTGTACTTCCGGGCAAAGGGAAAAAGAGAGGTGCTTTCCCCTCTAATGAGAAAAGAAGTCCCCAGAACAGAGTAGTTGGGGTGACTGCTCTCCTAACAGACCCCGAATGGCAGGATTGCTTTCCTCTCACAGAAAGGAACGATTATTTCTGCATAGGCAGACATTTGCTAAAAATTCCCTTAAGGCTCAAAATTTGTAGAGCAGATGGCACAATCGTCGAAACAGAAATGGCAATAAGGTGACATCTATGTGCTAAGGTGTCAGAAGAAAGGGAGCAGGAGGCGTGGCTCCAAGGACTTGGGGGGGGGCTCCCGGCACACTGCTTGCTATGTGGCCCTTAAAGACTGAGGCCTCAGCTGAAGGAAGACTTGGCTTCTCTGAGAAACCTGTTTTTGATATGCAAATTCTGTAGAGGTGGTGAGCTGAGCAATCGTCAGTCTTCTTCGTCTTCTTGGCAGCTCAACGTAAATGGCTGCAGTTGAGAATTTCGGGGAGAATGTGGGGTCCTGAGGGAATGGGGATTCAGATGGGGAAAGAAAAGATAGAAGCAGCATGTCTGAGTCTGGAACGAGCCTGGGCGCAGACCCCTTATGTAATGACAGCAAGCTTGTCTTGGAGGAGGACAACCATGGGGGTCAGGGGCAGAAGTCCAGAATTCAGACCTTCCAGTTCCAGAGCTGACGTGGGCCCCAGCCCAACGAGGCCAACTTCCGCATTGCCTGGTGTCGGAGAAGAGCAGTGATGGGCCCCAGGCTAGACGACTGGCAGCGTGGGCAGACCTGGGACCCTGTCTTTTGAGTCCCAGTCTAGTGCTGTGCTCTCTAGCATGCTCTGTCCCAACGGCCGGGGCCAGGTGCCTGAGGGCCACCATAGCAGTGGATCTGTGATGAGCTCTGCCATCTCCAAAATCCTTCTTATAAACGCACATACTCTGGGCCACCTGGCTGTCGTACTCAGTAGAGCATGCGACGCTCGATCCCGGTGTCCTGAGTTCAAGCCCTATATTACAAGTGCAGCTTACATAAAAGACAATGCACATATCCTGTCAAGGGTAATGGCCGAAGTCCCCTCCCCTTTCTGGAAAGGCATTCAGGGGATACCTAGGAACAGAGGGCCAGGGCAGGGTGAGGACCCTTGAGATGGGGTGCGGGCGTGCATGGGTGGAGGTTTTCTGAATCTTGGACCAAGTCCTGAGAGGATTTTTGAAAGAAAAGAGGGAGATGCAAAGAGAGGGGCAGTGGGAGAAAGAGACAGAGGAATAGACCCAAAGAAAGAGATAGAGACAGAGAGAAAGGGCCAGAGCTGGAGCCAGAGCAGGAGCGAGAGGGACACACACAGACACAGTGATGGGCACACGGGACAGAGGGGCATGTGGCTGGAGACGGAGAGGTGAGCGGGTGGGGGACAGAAAGTACTGGCACCATCAGAGGTGCTATAGGAAAGAGGGAGGGGCCCGTCCTGACCCATGTCCCTCTGCAGAGTCCCCCTGAGGAAACAAGAGTCCATCCGGGACACCATGAAGGAGAAGGGCTTACTGGGGGAGCTCCTGAGGACCCCCAAACACAACCCTGTGCAGAAGTACCACTTTGACGACCTTGGCGTGGTCTACGAGCCCCTGGACTTCTTGGATGTGAGTCCTGACCCCTTCGCTGGGGGCTCCCTCTCTCTACTGGCAAAGTCTAAGGCCAGACCCTGGGGGTGTGCTGTACTCTCTCCTTTGCACCCTCCATCCAGTTCCCGGGGCCTGCCTGACTGGACTGAGGGGTTGTGTGTTCTGGGCCAGTACGGGAGCTAGGCTCTGGTCTCTGCCTCTGGTTTTACAGCAGGGGCTCTGTCCGTGGAGGTCAGGCTGAACCTGAGGATCCCTGGATCCCCCCAGAGCTAAGAGCCTGCCCCATGGCCCCCCAGAGCCTCTACTTTGGTGAGATCAGTGTTGGGACTCCTCCGCAGAACTTCCCGGTCCTTTTTGATACTGGTTCCTCCAGACTGTGGGTGCCCTCTGTCCACTGCCATAGCCAGGGCTGTGGTAAGTGCTGGGCTGGCAAGGGCAGGTGGCCGGTGAGGGACTGTGAAGCCGGGATACTTCAATCCTGAGAGTCAGGGACTTGGCCAGGGTCAAGGGGGATGCGCAAGACAGAGAGAAAGGACAGGCCGTGGAGCTGGGTGATTACGTTGTCTTCCTTCTCACCCACATGTGTTCCTTCACCTGCTCCAGCCCGACCCTTCTGCTTGGTCCAGCCCACTTCTCTCTGCTCCATTCTGTTGCTCACCAACAATGCCATGCCCTCCCACCAACGTCTACAACATTCTTTCTCTTCTGCTCTCCCCACTCTTTACTAAGTTCTCATTGTGAATCTCCCTGGACGCATAGGAGAGCAGTATAGGATGCAGTCCCTGTATTGTATTTATTTATTTTTAAATGTTTTTATTCATTTATTTTGAGAGAGATAGAGAGAGCAAGCAGGGGAGGAGCAGAGAGAGACAGAGAGAGACAGAGAGAGAGAATACCAAGCAGGCTCCACACTGTCAGCACAGAGCCCGACATGGGGCTTGATACCATGAACCATGTGATCATGACCTGAGTGAAAATCAAGAGCTGGATGCTCAACCAACTGAGCCACCCAGGCACCCCTTTGTAGCTATATTTCAATACAGGCCATGTTCCCCCCTTTAAGGCTGCCCTGGTCCCTGCCAGAGCTTTGGGGTTTGGGTCCTGACACTTTTTCTCCAAAGGATGCCTCATTGGCCTTGTTCCTAAGTATCTCAGGCTCCTGGTACGGCCAGTTTCTTGATGGGGTGAAGGTCGGGGGAGTGCAGGCATGCCCTGAGGTTCACCTGCTCCTACAGCGGATGGAGGGGGGTGGGGATTTAAAGGGGATTGGGGAGATGGAGAGGGATTCTATGCATTCTACTGCAGAAGGTCACAGTCAAAGGGTACCCTGAGAGTCTGTGAATCAAAGGCAGCTTTGAGGCCAGTGTGGGAACCCCCTTGACTGGCCACCCCTTGGCTCAGTGGCCAGAGGCGCTGGGGCTCCAGGATGTGAGCACAGGCTGGGACATAGGTGGGCAGCCCTCCCCCTGCCAGCCGGCCTCCCCAAACCCTCCTGCCCCGCTGCAGCCAGCCACTCCCACTTCAACTCCAGCGCTTCGTCCACTTACTCAAGCAACGGGGAGATCTTCTCTGTGCAATACGGCAGTGGCAGCCTCCACGGCACCTATGGCTATGACACTCTGAGGGTGAGCCATGCTGCGGGCTGCTCCCGCCCCAGGGGGTTGGGGGGACGTGGGGACTGCCCCTGGGGCTCTTACCTGAGTTGGAACCTCATAGAAAATACGGGGAAATGCCTAGTGCTCTACTGAGCATGGGCTAGGAAATTAGCACCCCACAGGCTCTTTCACGCAGTCACCCAGCCCTCCCTGACCGCACCGTGTGCCAGGCACCCAGGACACCCGATCAGTGGGATGACCTGGTCCTCTGCTTAAGGGGGAAGCAAGGGGGAGAAAGAGGAGGGGGTGCAGCAGCACTCAGTGAGGCTGTTTGAGAGTCAAAGTGGTTCTCGCGAGACCTATCTAGAAGGGCAACAGTGATGGTAATGGAGGGATGAACAAGGAAGCCTTGAGTGGCTCAGCTGGGGAAGGTTTGGGGGAGGTAGGTGACACTTGTCACCTCTCATCCCCCATGCCAACCTCCAGGTCCAGAGCATCCTGGTCCCCAACCAGCAATTTGGCCTGAGTGAGCTTGAGCAGGGTCCCTATTTCCTCCATGCAAAGTTTGATGGCATCATGGGCCTGGCCTTCCCTTCCTTGGCGGAAGGCAAGGGTACCACACCCCTGCAGGGCATGCTGCATGCTGCAGGCGGGCGTCCTCTCCAGCCCAGTCTTCAGCTTCTACCTGGGCAGGTAAGAAATTGCTTGCAGGTCCTTAGGTCCCCGGCAACTCCCTCTATCTTCCTTGGGACCCTGGACCCTGTGTCTGTCACCAGCCCACTCTGACTTTTCTTTGCATTTCTAGGCTAGGTCAGAATCTTTCCCTCTTCTGGGTGAACTTAGCTTTGAGCGTGGCTGCAGATTCTCAGTACGTCTTGGATTTACCTCCTGCCCAGAGCCCCAGTTAGCTCATTGCCTTCTGAGCCAATATTTTCTACCTGGATACTTCTTTTGTATGATAATCAATGGTCTCCTCTTCTTTGATCTATTGTTCTAGCCACATCCTAGAGCCTTCTGGTCTACCTTCGTCATTTGCCCCTGACAAGTTGTTTTCCACGCCACACACACAAGCAATGGCCTAGGAGCCAGGTGGTGGGGGCAGGGGTGAGCAGCCGCTATGGACTTTCCTTCTTTTCCTCCAGAGCTAGTCAGCCACCTTCTGGAGACAGTCAGCATCTGCTCTCTGGGGCTTAATCGCTTGACTCCGACTTTCAACAATATTACCCTGTTTCTGATGTTGCTGACTTACTCTCTACCTCTGATTACAATTAGCTTTGAGTTTAGCCCTTAGGAGCTCTGACCAATTCCACACTCAGGTTTGGCTACTGGAGCTGGGGCGTGGGGTGGGGGGTGGGGGGGGAGGAGGGGGCTGAAAAACACACGAAAAATCTTTCCTTCTTCTCTGCCAAGGACCTCCCTCCCTCTCTCTGGTCCCAGCAGAAAAATGACAAGTAGGGCTCAGGGTCAGGCTCCAGTGACATATGACAGCAGCAGCAAGAAGTGGAAGGGATAGGAGAAGGGTGGGTGGGGCAGGGGCGGGGGGTTGGGGGGACTATACAACCAGCGGCTTTCCCTGAAGCAGGGCATTGTGGGGGAGCAGTATCTGGAAAGTGGGAATGCCGAGGGGCTCAGCTGGGAGCTACAGTCAGAAAGGGGACAAAATCCCTTCCCTCAGGCTTTCCTGGTGTGAGGGGTAGACACAGCATGGGGCGTCCCATTGTGACAGGCAGACACAGCCCTGCCCTCAGGGACCCCAGTCTGAGGAGGAAGACACAGCCCTGCCTCAGGGAGCCCCGGTCTGAGGGAAGAGACACAGCCATTTGTCAGGGAGCCCTAGTCTGAGGGGGAGACACAGCCCTGCCTCAGGGAGCCCCCAGCCTGCAGGAAGGGCAGGAAATATTTTCCATAGTCATTCCCTGACCCACTCTTTCCTTTGCTTTTTTCAGACAGAGGAGCCCTCAGAAAGGAGCAGTTCTTGTACTTGGGGGGATAGACCACAGCTTGCACAGGGGTCCCATCTACTGGGCCTCCGTCACCCAGGAGCGCTACTGGCAGATTGGCTTTGAGGAGTGAGTCTGCGGTGGGGCCCCAGGCATGTGGGCAGGCTTTGAGGCCTTTCATGTCATACACACACACACACACACACACACACACACACGGAGGTACTGCTGGCAGGTGGGACTGGAGGACCCCTGAGGCCTGCCCCCACAAAGCCACAGCTGTCCTTTGCTGGAGACTGAAGGTCCAGCTCAGCCTGGAAAAGTGGGGTAGCATGGGGACAACATACAGGGCAGGTCTTAGAATTCCAAACATTATAGATCCATCACAACATGATGTGCTCAGAGGTTAGAGACTGGATGAATGTGGAGGAATCATTGTGCTCAAAGTACTCACAAAGAATCAGGGACCCTGGCTTTCAGTGTTTCTAGAACCTTCCTTGGAATTCTTAAGAAAGACATTCCATGACCATTTAGGTGGCTTTGGTGGTGTGGTGTGAGGCAGGGGGATGGCTGGATTGATCTCTGCAGAGTCCTACCTTGATTCTAGGGCTGTAGCTGTCTGTCCCTCTGTGGTAGGGACAGCCCACTTCCCAGCTGCTCTGAGCTGGCCGTGTTGAGGGTGTTCATCTCCCCACCTTCAGGTTCCTCATTGGCGGCCATGCCACTGGCTGGTGCTCCCAGGGCTGCCAGGCCATTGTGGACACAGGCACATCTCTGCTCACTGTCCCCCTGCAGTACCTGAGTGACCTTCTGCGGGGTACAGGGGCACAGGTGGACGAGTATGGACAGGTGTGTATGGTGGAGACATCTTCGTTCTTTTAGCGAGGCCCGCCAGGGGGCATCTATGATTTTCCTCCGGCATAGGAATAGCCTGGCTCTTGGCCTCCATGCTTCTAGCTGCCCCAAAGCCCTGGAGGTGGGGTGCCCTGGGATGACTGGGGCTGCGGGCCCGGAGTCTGATTTGGGAGGTGGGGGAAGAACCTTGTGCTGAGGGGACACGGGGAGGTTATTACTCTGTAGAATTTCCTGGGAGCCTCAGCCCCTCCAAGGAACCTGGTTAAACACCTGCCAGGCTTGGGAGTAAGAGCAAAATAGCTGGAATGGGTGGGGGGGAGGGGGCGGCGAGCAGGGGGGGAGGAGCAGGGCGGCTCAGATGAGGGGCTGACAGGTCCTCTGAGGTGGGCGATGAGACCCCTGGGCCCCGTTCCTCTCTGCAGTTTATGGTGGACTGTAACAATGTCCAGAGCCTGCCCACCTTGACCTTCGTCATCGGTGGTGTGCGGTTCTCCCTGCCATATTCCTCGTACATCTTCAGAGTAAGTCTGCAGGGATGCGACAGGGCGTGAGGAGGGTCTGGGGGCTGGAAGCACTGGGTCTCCTCACCCTGTGCCTTTCCCAGCTCCTGGCAGTGCTGCCTTATGTCTTCCCCTCACCGATTCCAAACCCCTTCTTGGACACAAGGCTGTGACACGGAAGAGTGTCGTCGATTATGATTATTGTTATTGATCAGCACAGAGGGGCACTGGGTTGTCTGTGGAGCACCAGCTAGGGTCAGCCCTGGGCCTACACCCTCCCACTGAAGCGTCACAACATTTGGGGGGGGGGGCGCTAATTTCTCTTTTACAAGTGAAAACTTGGAGGTTCAGAGAGGGTAAGAAACTGACACAAGGCTCCACAGCCAGTCAGGGTGAAGCTGGGTTTGGAAGCCAAGTTGAGCTGGCTTCAAGGCTTTGCTAACCAGGCTGGCCTACGCCAAATCGGGAGCAAAAGAGAGGCGGATGGGAAGCCGGGGAGTGGAAACTACAGATGGTCACCACAGTGTGCCTTTACCCATTCCAGACATGGCTCCCACCGCCCCAGCTCTGGGGGCTCAGTAGGCCTGTGAACCCCCAGGGGCAGAATGTCTGGCTCACTCATTTCTGCACCTGTGCTCCTAGCCTGGAGCTCAGGGCTGAGCAGGGCCCTGTCCATGTGTCCGTGAATGCATGTGTGGCTGCCCTTCTGTGCAGGGAAATGGCATTTGTGCCATTAGAGTCCAGGCCACCTACCTGCCCTCCAGCAGCGGCCAGCCCCTGTGGATCCTAGGGGACGTCTTCCTCAGGTCCCACTATTCCATCTTTGACATCGGCAACAAGAGGGTGGGCTTCGCCATTGCTGCCTAGACCGAGTGCCTGGACGCCTGGACTCCTTTCTTCCTCTAGATCCCCCACCCCGAGGTTCTCTGTGTGCTTTCTTCTCTGGACTCAATCTCCTTTTTCTAGATTTTGGATTTTCTCTCATAATAAATGGTTCTTCTCCACGTTGGCCAGCGTGTTGTTTTTAGAGGGCAGTTGTGGCCTGTAAGGCAGCTCCTATCGCAGGGAATGGGAGGGAAGAGCGGGAGTCAGGGGCAGATTTGCCTCTACTGGACCATGTTCTCCCTGAGTCGCTAGGAGGTTTGTGGTGGGCGGGGGCGGGGGGGGGGTGTCACTGGGATTCTAAGAGGGATGGGGCATAAGGCACTCGGGGAATAGTGCCTCTACCCCTCAGAGCTTGGAGTCTCTTCGCAGCTTATCTCTGGAGAGAGAAGACAGTGGTAGTGACATTGAAGCAGGGCATTCCTTCATGATGGGCCTAGGGGCCCTACCCCACCACCTGAAATGTTCTGCTAAATCAGTTGACCTAGTGACCACCAGAATCACCCCAGGCAAGGTTGCTAGCACTGTGACTGGGGTTTCCAGTGCATTCCACACCTGCGCCTTCTGCTCCTCACCTGTGATCAGGTTTGCACTAGGAGTTTCTGAGAGATGCTAGATCCCTATGTGCACTTGTGGCAATCATGGGTCCTTCCGGGAGGAGGATGATGCTACCAGAACCTATTTCCAAGAGGGCTTCAGAAGGTCTGGGCTGAAAGAAACGGATCATATTTACACCTAGACCCTTATGCCCCAGGGTCTGTTTGAAGAAGGGCTGGCCTTAATTGTGGACAAGAGCGATCGCTACTTGGAATTACATGGAAATCAAGCCCATTTGTTCTAACCAAGTGAACAAGAGAAGGTGTTTTCTCCCTCTAGCCTTCATTCTTGTTCTCCTTAGGAGCCACCTGGCCAGAGACCCACAAACCTGGGGCTACGGGGTATGGGGCAGAGGAGGAAGTGGAGAAAGCAGAGCTCTGTCACTTCCAACAGGAGAAAGTGGCATGAAGTAGATCTGAAAAGCTTTTCCCTGTAGCATAGTGGAGGGGTCACCAGCAAGGTCGTACTGATGAGGTTTGAGGAGGGGTATAATTGGAAAACTCCTAATTGGAGGGTGGGAGGCTCCTTGTACATATTTTTCCACACTGTCATCAGGCCGACCTCAACCTTGCCCTTTATGTTCAGGCGCAGGGGTGAAAGCACAGGATCCAAGTCTGGCATTCCACTCCAAAACATGGGGAAACTGAGGTTTGCCATGCGGTAGTTTCTATAGCAACGGCACACCATCTGGGACCCTACATCTTTCCTGGGCTCCGGGAAAGAGCCTGTTGCCGGCTTCTCCTTGGGGTCAGAGAGGCCACAGGGTGTACATAGGAAGCTGTAGTTCGTGGCATCACTGACCGCGAAGAGAAAAAAACTTGCAGAAGGGGCAGAAACGAAGTGCAACATAGATTCCAAGTTAAATGCCAGGTTCCTGTACACACGCCAGCGCCCAGAGAGTGGGACTACAAATCCCAGCGTGCTTGGCAGAACCGGCGGAGGGACTACATTTCCCCGCGGGCGCCGCGGTAGGCCCTCGAGGGGCGGAGCAGGGCGGGGCGGGACCGCGGGGGGGCGTGTGCTGCCCTCTGCCGGGCGCGGCGGGAAGTGGGTGCGGATTGACAGTGGGAGCCCTGGCGCCGGGCGCGGGGCTCGGTGACAGCGGAGGCGGCGGCCGCGGGCTGGACACCCGGAGCGGCGGCGGCGCCGACGGCAGCGTGAAGGGCGGACGGGGCGGGCCTCCCCGGTGGCGCGGGGCCGGAGGAGTCCGGGAGGGGGCGGCAGGCGCAGCTCGTGGGCCGGACACCTGAACTTGGGACAAGTTGCCGGAGCCGCGGGGGACAGGCGGCGGACGGATTGACCTTCAGAGATAGGTGAGCGGGGCCGGGGGCCAGGTGGTGCGCGGAGGACCGAGAATCCCGGACCCAGGCTCCCCTGCCCTGATTCTGTGGGTCCGGGAGACAGGTGGGTGGATGGGGGTGCCGGCTGAAGAGGGGACAGGGAGTGTGTGCGCCGCGCCGTCACCCGCCCCGCTGTACGTCTAGCCCGGGACGTTGGGCACATGGCCGGAGCGGCGCTGCCCGCCGAGCCCAGGAACCCCTCCAGCCCCTCACTGCGGGCCCGGGCTGGGGGCGGCTTCTCTGCGACCTTATGTAACCAGCCGGGAGGGGCTGGGGCGGGCATGGGCCTTCCCGGCTCCGGAGCTGGGAGTCGAAGGGGCGGGAGGCGTGGGAGTGAACTTGCAACAAGTTTGAGGGACGTGTGGGCCTTGCGCCTACTCCTTCTCCACCGGAGGCGGCTGGGGCGGGTGGTACGGGGGAGGGCGCCGGAGGCCCGGGAGGTGTGCGGCGGCCGATTCTGGGCTGGCCAGGCCCAACCTGGATGGTCCCAAGGAGTGGGAGGGCCGGGGAGGCGCCACGCCCCCGGGGCTGGGCTGCCGCAGGGGGGCGGGTGGAAGTACCATCCCTCCCGCCCTTCCCGTCCCTTCCTCTCCCTCGGTGTCTTGAAGAAGCCGCCGCTGCCCGTGTCCCCTGGTATCCCTGAGATCAGTCTTTTTCTCCTCCTTGCATTATTCCCCGACCTCTGGGAATCCTAACCCCAGAGCTCGCCCTCTGCGCGCCCCTCTTTCTACTTTCCCGGGAGCTCCCGACCGTCTGCCGGTCCCCGAGTACCCCCCACCCCCAACTTCTAGGTCCCGAATCCCGGAAAACACGCCCCCTTCCCCTTATTCCCTTAGTTCGCACCGCCCACCCCCTGCCGCCCCGCCCCCTAAATCCGTGCTCAGCCTTCTCCCCACCTCTCCGAACCCTGGTCAGCTACTCGGGCGCCGCGCGTGCACTTCCCTCCTTGAAGGGAGAGGGTTGATGCCAGCTCCGTCCCCGCCCCTTGGCCCCTTCTTGGCCAGGGCTTCTGGCTTCACGCACGGCTGCCCCGAGCTGCTCCGGTTTGCGCGAGCAGGTTCGCGCCGCAGCCGCCTGGCGAGCCCCAGCCCCGCGCCCAGGGGGAAGAAGGGAGGGCGCCCGGGGCGGGGCTCGTCTGCACGCGTGTCCGCACCGCCCCGAGCTCCCCTCCCCGTTCTCCGGCGGCCGCCCGCGCGCCGCGGAGCCCTCCCCATCCCAGCCCACTCCAGCCGGGATTCTCTCGCCGTCTGTTCTGGGCACTGTTCGGCGCGGACGGTTGCGGCCCGGAGTTGAAGGCAGTGCTTTCTTTGGCTTTGCGTCCTCTGGAGAAGTGAAGTGTCAGTTACTGCCCAGACCCCCACCCTGAGTGAGGGGGTCTTAGTTGAGCAGGGAAGGGGCAAGGCCGATGCAGGCCCTTAGTGACACTCCGATGTGGGCGCAGGCCCCTGCACCCTCCCAGTCCAAGATTCCACTGGCCCGAGACCTGGCAATTCTTGGGGGCGGGAGGTGGGGGAGGTAGCTCTGGTTTCCTCTTGGGCGGCCAGAGGCGCTTGGCTCAGATCAGAGCCTAGTTCTTGGCTCCTTAGCCTGTTCGCAGAGGCTTTCTCTGTGCCCAGCCGGGTGGACCGCCTCTAAGCCCTGTCCTCAGGCAGATCACAGTCTGGGGGAGAGATGCCAGCAATAAAGGCCCATCTTAGACACCGCGGAGGGGAGAGTTCCGCGTAGGGGTCCACTGGTATGCTAGTGCCATGCCTCAGTTTCCCCGTCATGGGTCAAAGCAATTTTCTTGGTCCCCTTCTTTCTGCCGACCACCTGGCTGCTGGGGTGGGAGAGCTGGGAACCAGAAAGTGGAAATGAAGTACTGTTTGGGTGACTGTGCTCACTTCTCTGGAAGTGAGCCAATGTTACTTACAGGTTACAAGGCCTATTACAGCTACACTTCTATTCTGCCCTCTGCGAGGCGTGGACAAATCAGAATCCTGTCCCAGCTCCCATGGAAGTGGGAGGGCCTGGGGCAGGGGGCATCCCCTCAGGTGAGCACCAAATCCATGGAAAACAGCCAGGTTTCTGAGAGCTGGTGGCAGTGAGACTCACAGTCACGGATGGGTAGGGGGTGTGCTCTGGCAGGCAAGAGCCCTTCCGGGGGGCCTGGGATGGTGGGGATACCCAGTACCCACCTCCATTGCCAGTCAGGCCCCCTTTCAGCCTCCCACCCTTCAGGCCTGGCTTCGCCTTTGAGGGTCTGGCATCTAGCCCTGATCCCTCTTGGGGCTTTGTTTACAGCTGTAATTGTATCATTAGCTGGAGTTTATAGAGTTACTTAGCACCTGCCCCCACAGGGAGTGGCTCGGCCACCCCCTGGCTTCTGCCTCTTCCTTTTCAAAGTCAACTTGGTTTCTGCCGGCAGGAGGGGGTTCCCCAGGCGCAGCTGGCTTGCAAGCCAGGTTGGGCCTTTGTCCTAGGGATGGAGGGCAGTCAGCACTGGGGGCCCAGCTTGGGGCTGCCCTGGAGATGACCGTGGACATTGGGTTGACCTCCTCTGATATGGAGGGAGGGGATTCGGGGTTTCTGGCGCTGCCAGCAGTATCCACAGCCGGGCATACAGTGAGTGCGTATGTGTGTAGCGTGTATATCCTCATCTGAAAAAAAGAGAGACAAACACGCACTCCCTCTGGGCTGTCGTGAGGATTGGGTCCACAGGGTGGCCCTTTGTTTCACTGTGGGGTGTGTGAAACTGATGGGAGTTTTGTGTGTTTGGGTATGAGATTATAGGTATCTGGGTACGTGTGCCTGGATGAATTGTGTACATGTGTGTCTTTGAGAGTGTAGCACGGTATTATATTTGTAGAATGTTCATCTAGTCTCTTTATGCCATAATAGAACAATATCATGATAAAAGTATTAACAGTAGTTGCCAACATTTATATTGTGTATTTACTCTTTGGAACAAAGTAGGAATGATTGTTTTCATTATACAGATTCAGAGAAGTTAAGCACTGAAGTCAGACAGCCTCGAAGTGGTAGGGATTCTTTTTTTTTTTTTTTTTT